GTATCTCCTCATTCATTCATTCATGCATGCATGCATTCAGGAGGTGTTTATTGAACATCTGCCTTGTGGTCAGCGCTGCCGAAAGCTAGGAGAGAAGAGTGATAGTACAGATGCAATCCACATTCTCACCAATCTAAGAGTCGAATATCGGGAGGTTGGTAACACACAAGATCTCTAAGAACATTGGCACTGAATTGAACCTTATGAAATTGCCAATAGTCAATCATTTTCAGCTTCAGAAATGGCACTGTTCCAACCTAAATGTTCTGAACTGGGTTAAGGGATCTCAAAGAAAAATGTAGCTTCTTCGGTAAGAACCTGCATTAGGGTTCCCCACAGAAACAAAACCAGTATATCAAGAAATTTATAATGAAGAATTGGCAAGTTAAACATCTGCAGACAATGTCCCAATGGAAGTCTGAAGGCTGGCAGGCCACTGTAGCTCCAGAAAGACCAGATGCCGCATTTCAAAGCCTTTGGGCAGGAGTAATTCTTTCTTGCTCAGGGTGGGGGGTGGGGAGGATCAGCCTTTGGTACTATTCTGGCCTTAAACTGACTAGATGAAAGCCACCCACATTAGGAAGGGCAAACTGCTTTACTCAGTTTACCATTTAATTAATTTATTTAAATTATTGTGTGCAATCAAATTCATGTGCTCCCTGGAGAAAGACAGAGAGAGAAAGAGAGAGAAGTGAGAAATCACCCCCTTGGGGGATGAGCCAGGCTACAATCTCTTGTCCAGTCTCCTCTCAGGATTTTGGGTATGCACTCACACATACTCTGAATAATTTTCAAGCTGCAGGGTCTGGAACTCGAACCACAAAGTTTTCCATGTGGGATCTGCCTGCTGGCCTCCAGTTTGCTATTTTAAATGTTAATTTCATTGCAAAACACCCTCACAGAAATGTCCAGAATAATGTTTGATCAAAGTCTGGGTACCCTATTACTCTGTCAAGTTGCCGTTTAAAACTAACCCTTATGGTACCCTTAGAGCCTTGCTCTTCAGAGGGGCCTGCAGGTCTGCAGTGTCTTTATCACCTGGGAACCTGAGCAGAGGCTCAGGCTCTACTTCAGGCTTGTTGAATCAGAAAATCGCCTTTGAACGAGATCCTCAGCTAATATGAATGTGCTTTGAAGTTTGAGAAGCACCCATACTATGAACCACAGACAAACAACAAATTGTTGAGCATTTGTTTAGTTCATGGCATCTAGCTGACTCTTCCTGCTGTCTAATTCATTTACTTTTTTGACATATCCCTACTTGCAAAGTGTTTTTCAGTATACATGTCAATATATACCTATTTGTTTCACAAATAAGTATAAGCGTGTGCCTGTGAGTAATTTTTAGGTACGTTGGAAAGCATATATAAGAACAGAAATTTAAAACTGAGCTGAAGGGGAAATAAATATTATGTAAAAATCTTTGTCTAATTGTGATTTCACACTACCATCAACCAATATCTCAAAACATAATGTACATGAGAATGAAGTGCATCAAAAAGAAAATCCTTACTTTGAATATGGTTCCTGAGAGTTTTGAATATTTTGGACTGACTATGGTCTGAGTAGACCTTCTTTCTTTCTTCTTCTTTCTTTTAAATTTTGCTATAGGACAAGTGCTCTCCATGGGGCAGCGAGAGAGAAAGTGAGAAATCATTCTCTGGGGGGGATGGTCACACCACAATCCCTTCTCCTCCATCTCTCTCTCCATTCGGGATTTTGGGGACGTATGCACCTGCCTCCAGACTGTTTTTCAAGCCACTGGGTCAAATGAGTGCAGTTGACCATGTGGGATCCAGCAGCCCCAAACACCATGCCACCAGCTGGCCCTCGACCATCTTTATTTTTTAACCTTGTGAGAGAAGCTGTTGAAGACAAGAGGAGAATAACCTTTATTGTTTCCTTGTGTTCATATTATCTGTATCATTTTCAGGCTGTGGCTTTGTGAAGGGGATATTTTTAAAAGCCATATGTGCCTTTTTGTGCTTAGAGGAATTAAAAGTTAACAGTTTAATCTGTTTCTTCCCTTCAGGGGTCCACATAGCTGTAGTACAGGTGGTACATTCCGGTGAGGGTGCCCTAGCTGTCACCTCCCTTGGTCTGAAGTTCCTAATTCCCGTCATCTGATATGTATTTCAAGGCCAGGAGCCAGCATCAGTACATGAAGTACATCGATTCCTCATTTTTAATGACTAAAGGAATAAAAATATATTTATTTCTTCCATGAAGAAATAAATGGCGGGGAGGGAAAGAGACACACACAGAGACACCTCCCGACAGGGTCTTTGTGCCACCATCCATCCCTAGTCTCAGCCAGCCCAGATTATGGGCATGTGTACACCCAGCATGTGTGTGCACATGTGTGTCACAGGGAGGGCCCAGAATGTTACCCAGGACCTTTCCCGTGTAAGTCCAGTTGTGTTACCCCTGCTGCCATCTGGCCCCATGCTTAGAAGTTCTGATGGTTCCTTCCCCTATGCCAACCCATTTCGTACAGTCCCTGGAGTGAGGGAAGAGGTGTGCTTCAGAGATGCCTTGTCCAGGAAATAGAATTCTCTAAGAATCTTTGTCTCCATTTCATGCTCTGGGAAAATCTGCCCTGGGAAAGTGTCTTTGAACTCTGGGGCTGGAATTTCACGAATTCTGGCATCAGGAAAGCCCAGGGGATCTGCAGATGGCAGTGCTGAACAAGTTTGTAGTAACATTTTGCTTGCTTACTTTGCCACAAACACTGAGAGCAAGAAAGTACCCCAGTGGGCTGTGGTCACACCACAGTCCTTTTGCTTCTATTCCTGGATTGGGTTGGGATTTTGGGCATGCACATATATATGGCTGGTATATTTTTCAAACCAGCTGGGCCAGGAGTCAAGCTCGCTGGCCAACTGAGACCTACCTTTCCATATACATAGCTTAACTGCTAGACCCTTTGTTCTTTTTTATGGCTAAATAATATTCTGTTTAATATAACACATTTTGTATATCTACTCGTCAATTGATAGGCATTTGGATTGTTTCCACTTTTTGACTATTGTGAAAAATGATACTACACACCAGTCTCTCTTGATTACGGTACTCTTATTTATTTATTTAACATGTCTATTTTTTATCCTTTCCCATAGAGTATAAGCTCCAGAAGATGGCAGCCTGGATCGTCTTGTACACTGCTATCCCCAGGCTTTTGCATGGTGCATGGCATACAGAAGACAATTAGTATTTGTTGAATGAACGAACAAATGAGAGCTATTGTTATTCTCTTGTCTCTTAGTGAATTCAGTCTTTTCCTCTAATTCATGTGGGGCTCTTGCTGTGTTGACATTAGTCTCTCTTGCATTGTCACCAGCTATGGATCTTGCGCCATTGTCCTATGACCCTTATGTTCGGCTGTTCCCTCTGTTGCCCTAGTATAGTCACCAAGTTGAATGTGCAGCAGACTCACATGAAGGGTTGTGAAGATACAGATCACTGGTCCCCAATCCTGGAGTTTCTGACTCATTAGCTCTGGATGGATCAGAACATTTGCCTCTGAACAAGTTCCCAGTGATGCTGCTGCTGCCGGTTGGCAGATCACTCTTAGAGAATCATTGCCCTAGTGGAGTAAATTTCAATGGCTAGGTCGGGCCTGCCAAGTTCGTAGATGGTCTTTGTGGGCCTTGCTGAAACAGTTCATCGTCCTTTTCTGTCTCACTTTACATGGACTCAGAGGGTTCTGGTTAGCTAAGAACATCTGAATATGTCTCAAAACATGCAATTATCACTTGTGGGTGCGTACCCTGGAGAAATTCTCCCTGGTCCAAGAGGAGGCCTTCATGAAGATGTTTATTGCAGTGTTGTTTATGAAAGTCAGGGGGTGGGTGACCGTCTAGTATGTAATTCTAGAAATAACAAACAAGGCTGCCAGTCTGCTGGTTCCCAGTGAAACTGGTTGGTTGTAATTGGGGTCTATTCTGATTGGTTGGCTCCCGCACCATACCAGTTGAAACATATGGAGACTGTCATCCCTGTAGGTAAGTGAAATATGGGGATTGTACATGAGGAGATACTATGCAGTGGTTGCAAGTGATGAAAGAGAATCATATTCAATAGCTAATATAGCTAATATGGCTACCTCTCAAGTTGCATGGATAAAAGAAACAGCATGAGGTTTATGGTGAAATGTCATTTATGAGAAGATAGATACATATGTAATAGTAACTATGGTATTATATATATATTTCAGAGATATTCATGTATCTAAAGAAATACATGAGGAGGTAAAGAGAAAAATATGTGTTGGTAGGTCTGACCTTAGGGTATTCTAGCGGTGATTATTTATGTTCTATTCTATGTGCAAACACTGAGATTCTTTCCTAAGTTTATATCTAATTATGATCTTCTCTGTTATGGATTAAATTTTGCCCCTACTCCTTCCCAAAATGAAAAATAGAAAAGATTCTAGTTCAATCTCCATGCCACAATTTACTGGCTGTATGACCTTGAGCAGGTTAATTCACCTCTCTGAGTCTTGACTTACTCATCTGCAAAGGAGTGATAATTGTCATTAGGTGTTCGTGCTGTTTTGTCGAGTTAAGTCATGAAGTGGTTAGCATATTGCCTGGCTTATGGTATGCATGCAGTAAATGTCAGCTACTGTTACTAATAGTGGGCCATCACCAAAGTGTGGGTATCTAGTGTTAGACATAAAGAGAGAGTAAATCTATGTGTAAACACATTAAATGCGTTTTCATCATTTAATCCTCTCAACAACTCCTTGGGGTAGATAATACTGCTATTACATGGCTATTGTGAGAAGTATGCAAACTAGTCTTTGTGAAGTCCCTGTATAACCTATAATTGCAATGATCTTATTTATTACTTAAGTGTTTTTTCCATTCCACTCCTAACTAGACTAGTGGCTCCGTGGAGTAAGCGGCCTTGATTTTTGTTCATGCACAGAGCTCCATACATCCAGATGCCAGTCATTTTATTTTGAATGAATACATTTAAATTTTTTCTTGTTTTAGGGCCCTTGCAGATGTCATGAGGCCCCAGGGCCACTGCAATACTGACCATATGGAGAGAGACCTTAACATTGTTGTCCACGTCCAGCACTACGAGAACATGGACACAAGAACCCCCATAAATAATCTCCGTAAGTATAGTTGCACGAGCCATTTCCAGTCCTACTTTATGACCTCTGTGGTGATCACGTGGCCAGATGTCACGATGTGTATCTGGATTAGTTAAGACTTTTCTGACAAGTCTGAAGTCTTATTTCCCTTCTCCTGGAGGAAGCTGAATTTGGCATCATCAGATTTTATTTGACTGGTTTCTAATGATTGGCTCTTCTGTTAATTAGTAGATCATTTGGTTGATTCATCTTGATTGATCTATTAACTAATGACCTTCTAGGTTGGTTCATCCTGGTTGGGTATTTAATTAACCAATGGGTTATTTGGTTGGTCCATCTTAGGTAGTTAACCTATTAGTAATGGTCCGTTTTGTTGGCTGATCTTGATTGAAGCATCTATTAGCCATTAGTCCATTTCGCTGGTTTATCCTGACCAGGTCATCTGTTAGCCAGTGGGCCATTCATTTATCTATCTCCCGAAGTAGACCAGTCAAGACTTTCAGGTTTCATGCTGTTTTCAATGTGAAAATACTAGTTCAGCAAAATTACACCTGTTTTATAAAACTTGAATATCATAGAAATAATCCACAAATACTCCTGTGTGTGTGTGTGTGTGTGTGTGTGTGTGTGTGTGTGTGTATGTGCATGTGCGTGCATGTGCTATAGGCATTGTGCTCACCTTGGTTTGGGATATGTATGCTGTGTGACTCAACATTAGCAAATTCCGTTCTGAGGTTCTGCCAGGAAAAAATAATAAAAAAAGAAAATGAAGGCTGTGTTTGCCATTGTTTCTCAATAGGTATTCTTCAGCAGATAGATCACACTTGGGGATCTTGATACATTACCAAAGATTTTCTTTCTTTTCAAAGGTCTTTATATACAATATACATTATGGAACTGATGCACTGACTAATGGGAGTGGAGGAAAAATAAGATTGTTTAGTTTTTGACAGTAGTGTACTACCGTGGTTATTCCTAGCAATTATGTTTTCAAGTAACCCCCACATTAAAGTAATGTGAAGGGCTTGGTTTTAAATAACAAAAGCCAGACAATTGCAAGGACGCATTTAGTTGTGGCTGGAGAGTTCTGAAAACAGAAACAGTTCTGCTGTTGCACATTTTTACAATCTGGGTCGCCTTTGCTGAAGTTCCACTGGGAGGTGTATGAGTGTTTCATTTGCTGAATCATAGTTTTAGACTGTTTGGTTGCAAATGTTTATGCTCAATGGCTGGAGGAGGAGGTCTGTGGAATTCAACATAGGTGACATGAATTCTCTGATTCTGCATGCTAATGAGGTTCATGGTTTTGGAAATCATTGTAGTGTGTAAGCAAAGGTCACATTTATGTGGTCTAAAAAATGAGCCATCAAATGGGATGTCTTATGCTTCATTATAGTACATAATTCACCAGAATTTATTTATGAACTAGATCATAAAATGATGTATGAAATTGTCACATTTTAGAGCAAAATATTGCAGCAATTGGAAGTTTCATGACTCAGTTTCATAGGCTTGAAAGATACATTGAATGGCACCAAATCTGACATGGTCATTGCTGTGTCCAATTCTGGCTTTCATGGAAACAAGCACTTTCTCTTTCAGATGGCACTGGGAAAATAAGTTGAGTCTAAGAGTATGAGGGTTCCAAACATATAGTAAATGTGAATGTGATCATGGAGCAGAGAAACTGAAATGATGTTGAACCCTGGTCTGTAAAAGGTGACCATTAATAGGATTTTCCTGCAAAGTTTCAATCTCTAGGATGATTTTTGAATCAGTTTTCCAAAAGAATAACCAACTCCTGAAAGTCACCTAGATTTCAACATTCTATCAGGCAGTAGGGCAGCAATCATTAATGAATGTTGCTTAAATAAGGGTCTTTCTTTTAAAGTTGTACTGAAAATAAATTACTGCTCAGAGATAGATATCCAGACACTGAGTCATTCAGGAGTCTTTTATGAATGGGTCTCTGTTTATTTGTGATTCTTGCTTCTGGTCTATGTTTGTGCCTTAGGAATCAGTGCTTTTTCACACCAACAGAGAAGGCATATTGTAGTAACCCACAGGGTAGAAGTGCACTAGAGCATTCCTGGTAGACCACAGGGGAGAATTCCAGGAATAATGCTGCAAATATTTTATTCTTACAAGAATTGCCCGAGATATTAATTTTATATAATCTTACCAGGTTGATTCTATTATTTCTTCCTAATGTTCTTGAGAATATCTGAATAAGATAAAAAAGAAACATGTAGTCTTTTCATAGATTTATATTAGTCAAGTGTAATTCATATATCACATTAATTAGTAGTTGACAGTAATAATAATTCCCCTTGCAATGGCTTATTTATCCTTTGTATTGATTTACAGGGAGTATTTATATAGTATAGACTCAAAAATGTGTTATGTTAAAAAGAATGGAGGCTTTTTGGAGTTGAGAGGATAGGGTTGGATGACTAATATTACTCAGTTGATAGGAGTTTAAGAAGCCAAGCAAGGGAACCAGCAGTTACCGTAATGGCTATGTCGCTGGATTCCCATGTAGTCAACCGCGATTTGCGTCCTGGACCCGGTGGCTTAAAACTCAGCCAGGTGCGTGTACGTGCATGCCCAAGACCCCGAGAGGAGAATGAAGGGGAAGGGATTGCAGCGTGACCATCCCCCCTGCGTGGTGATTTCTCGCTTTCTGTCTCTATGTCTCTGTCTGGTGTGAGCGCACATGCCTTAATAGTGAAAATCTCTCTCAAAAAAAAAGAAGCCAGCAATTAGAAGTCTATTTTGACTGAGAAAGAACTAGGAGAGAAGGAATCCAGTCTGATAAATAGAAAATTAGACCAGCCCATTGTGCCAGAATTATAGCACAACTATTAAATATAAAACCTTCTCTAGACATTATGGGAGCCACAACGATTTACTATTACAAAAAATGGAAAGGAAGATGCATTTGTCTGTGATACACCAAGAAGGATGCATCGTGCTGTTTTCAGGTTGTTCTTCACTGAACATCCAAGTTGCCAGATTTGACTGGAGAGTCAATAGCCTCAGCTCAATGTCAAATTCATCTCTAGTAATGATCCACACAACTTTACTTTAAGGGAATGATAATCTCCATCTATTTCTCTCTCCTTATCTTAACACTCACAATATGTCACTTTCTGGTCTCTCTCTTATGCTTTGGTCAAATGCTAACAGAATCCACACTCAGTCTAGAAGTCTGGGTATTTAGAAAGAGGAAATGGAGAAGGGCTTGGGTGAAGGCAAACAGGGAGGAGAGAGCATCCATATGGCAACTTTTTGCAACTTTGCTTTATAAATTTTCTGGAGTTGATTTTCACCATGATATGCAGGACTTGACTTTTTAATCTAAAGATGGGTTTCGCTTTAACTGACACTGTTCATGTTCTTTCCAGGTATTCAGTGATATTGCCTAAAAATATTTAGTCTGATAATCAAAAGGGTCTTGACCTCTTTGACTAAACGGGATGTAGATTCCAATGAGAGAGTGATTTTCCGCAAATGCTCCTCTGCCTCTGTGTAATTATAGTTTGCTTTTGAAGGCACATTTTGTCTTTAACTGCTAAAAACACACTCCAGTCTTCCTGGCGGACAGTGATACCCCTCACCTCTTCAGGGGTACAGGGCACGTGCAGGATCCATTTTGGTTTCTCAAGGGGAATGTGAGTGAGGGGCTGTGGACACAACATGAATCAGCATTCTCAACTCGTGTGTAAACAGCACGTTTTTTTAAATTAAAATTTTTATTTTGGAATTCTCTTTTCTTTACATAAAAGTTATAAAGATAGTTCACAGAGATCTCTATAATTCTCACCCACTTTCCTCTAATGTCAACATCTTACGTCACCGTGGTACATTAGTCAAAACCGAGAAATCAACATTAGTGCATTCTTTTTATTAATAACTGCACTGCAGACGTTATTTGGGTTTTTCTAGTTCTTTTACACATATCTCTTTTCTGTTCTGGGATCTAGACCAGGATACCACATTGTCTTTAGCACAGCATACTTTGAGAGTGGAAATCTGGCCGTGCAGTATTGTGTATTGATGTGGTAAAGACGAGAAACACACGAAGTCCGGCGGCAGCAATCACAAAGCCTTTATTGTCTCCCAGTGTCTATACAAACATCCACAGACAATCCTTCCCCTTGTCAGTGTTGGATCAGACCCTGTGGCTGCCCTAGTTGAGCTCTCTGTGTTTTCATGGGGCAAAATACTCCCATGTGCCATACACACATGCAGCTATTCTGTGGACCTGGGTGGATGTTGAACTGTTTATTTTATAGCATGATTGAGCAAGCGACACTGCACTCAAACCAAGGAGAACTGATGACTTTAGGTTTCAGGACGCAGAAGCCATCAGAAAGAGCAGGCTCCCATGCCAGCCCCACCATCTCTCTCTTCCCCGAAGGTGGTTCCCAGATGGATTTACAAAGAACTTAAAAGCAGATCCATAGTTTTGTTTCTGAAGAGGTTGTCCAGTTCATATTTAGGGTCGTTCATTTGTCCACATTTACTAAGGGACCTGGGATGTACCACACTTGACTTTTGGAAGTAAGGGCAGGGATATTTAAAAAACTTGTGGGGAATTTCCTAGCCAGGGCATGCAAAATGTAAATATAGCTATAGGAGTGTTTTGGAGTAAAAAATAAATAAATAAAAAAAAAGTTGAGATAGTGTAAAATTAACAGTGACTCATATAGACAGCAGTGTGAACATTTAACATATTGAATCCTCAAAAACCTTAGGTTAATTCTATTAATTTCACTTCATAAGGATGAGGCTACTGAGGCTCAGTAAGGTTAAGTGGCTTGTCCAAAGTTTGTTTCACTGTTGAGGTGTGGAACTGGGATTCAAAAAGAACCAGTTTTGGGCAATCTGCTGGCGTCACCAGCAGATTGAGGTGGTTGAGGTGGCTGTATCTGACAAGGCCAACTATGTGGTTCAAGTCCTGGGCCCAGCAGCTTGCAAAATATGCCAGGCTTGTGTGCATGCATGCCCAAAATCCT